TTCCAACCCTGTAGTGAGCTGATAAAGCTCTGTGGACTTCTGGGAGGTGGTGGTCCAGCCTTGAAGTCCCTCCCCTCTCACTGCGTCGGCAGGTGGGACAGAGATCTTTAGGCAGGAGGGTTCTTCCTGGTGCCCTGTCCTGCTGCCCCCTAGCCTTCCTCTCTCACCTGTCTTGGGTGATACCTCACTCAGGCTGCGATCCTCATACCAGTCCTGCCATTTCCTGCTCACATCCCACAGAAAGGTGGTTGACTAAAAGGTTGGCTGTTCAAAGCCGTCAGCACCTCCGCTGGAGGAAGTTGATGCTGTCTATTTCTATAAGGACTCAAAGCTCAAAATTTCAGGCTCATTGTGGTAAAGTTGGAAGCTGATGCTGCAGTGGTTTTCGAGCTTCGGGTCAGGCCACTGGCCACCTGTCTCTCATGTTGCCAATGGTGGATCCACACTGTGAGAGTGGCATGGCCCAGAATGAGGGACAGATTTGGCCACCAGAGCATCCTTCACAAGGACTGGTTGTTGTTGTAGACCATCATGCCAGGACTGACTCTCCAGCAGGTTTTCAGAGGCAACAGATTTTTATTTATTTTATTATTTTTTTTCCAGAGGCAGAAAATTTTAAGGGAGGAGATTGCCCATCCTTCTCCCACAGAGCAGTTGGTGGATTTGAACCACGGGAGAGGCACAGCCTTTGGGTTGCCAGTGCAGCTCCCTGCAGACTGGCTGCCACAGCTCCCTGGCACACTGTTGTTCTTGTTGCTGTTAGGTGTTGTCGAGTTGAGCTCAATTCATAGCGACCCTATGAACAACAGATCTAAACCCCATCCTACCCTGCGCCATCCTCACAATCTCTGACACACGTGAGCCCATTGCAGCAGTCACTGTATCAATCCACCTGTTTGAAGGTCTTCCTCTTTTTTTGCTGACCCTTGACCCTTTCTAACCATGATGTCCCTGTCCAAGGAACCTCTCCTGGAAACACACCCACAGCATGTGAGGCGAAGCACACAGTAGGTGCTCAATATGTGCTTGTTGGAAGAAGAAAGGATGCTTCTTGGCCCAGAGCTGTGAACTGTGGTGTGACAGGACTGTGCCTCAGTTTACCTGCTATAGGAATGGGGCCAGGCCATGGGCTACCTCGTTCCTTCTGCTGCCAGGCCCTGGTGTCCAGTTAATAACCTGCTCCCAGGGGCCAGGTCACTGATACCGGATTCTTCTCTCTGGATGGTCCAGCTGCCCAGTGTCACTTGATCCTGGCCCCACTTCCAGGCCAGTGTCCGGTGGCCAGCCCTTTTGGGCCATGGACCTTAGACTCCGTGCTAGGGGACAAGGGGCTGTCTGTGCAGCCCAGAGAGGTGTGGTGAGGCCAGGTTCTGCCAGGCTGGGCGGAGGCGTGAGGGTTGGGGACAGTGCCCGGGCTGTGGCCACCAGCGACAGCATTGCTGAGAAAGCTCCAGCCTGCATTCCCTGGACCCGTCGCCCACCATGGGCACCCTCAGCTGCGACGCCCCTGCTCGGTCACCTCTGGGCCGACGGACCACTGACTGCCAGATCCCCGAGACTGGCCTGCGGAAGTCACGTACATCAGCTGCCCTGGACACCGGTACGGGTCATGGGGGGGGGGCGTTCTGCCCTGGGACACCCTATCTCACCCCTTCTAGAGTATTCTGGGAACACCATTAAGTCTCTGTCATCCCCAAGCTCAGGGGATGGGGTGAGGGTGGGCCTCTGGTGGCTCTTGTGTAGCTGGTGGATGCTCAGGCCCGTGCTGTGCGGGGCCACAGCTGAACCAGGTGCAGAGATGGGGGCCAGACAGGGTGGGTGACTCCCGGGAAGAGAAGAGGTCCTAAGGGTGGGGCATGCGGGGACGGCCAGGGAAGCACCTTCTCAGTGTGACAAAAATGGTCTCTGGGGTCCTGCCTCAGTATCTCCTGTGTTGGCCTCACCCTATGTCTCTCCCTTCAGCTGCACCTCCACCCTAACCCCACAGAGACACACTGACCCCCACCCTAACCCCACAGGGAGGCGCTGACCCCCCCACCCTAAATCCACAGGGAGGCGCTGACCCCCC